TGTGAAATAACCTAGGGGGGCTAATCTTCAGGTGGTCCAAATATTCACCAATTTACCAGAACAATGTGGAGAAACCTGTATTGTGTGAGGAGTTTTGCCGAGCCGTCCGTGTGAGTGACGGTGTGGCCTGACGTGTGTGTGTGTGTGTGTGTGCGTCGTAGTAGGGGTTGCTATAATTTGCCACATTCCTACAGCGGTATTACCAGTAGATCAGAGTCAGTAACACCAGTCGTCTACTGTTTACCATCGCCATCTTCACCACTCACAGCGGCTGATGCTATGAACAAAATTCTTGGCTGATCCACACACACAGGTCCTTCGTGGCTGTGAGCCCAAGGGTCCTCCCCAACAGCCTGTTTTAACCCTCAGGTCAGTGTAAATTAATTTTAGTCTGATAAATTCCAACTAGCAAGGTTTTTTTTTAAACACCTTTCAATAACTCAAGATTTTTTTAGCCAATCATCTTTATAGAGATTCTTAAGCTGTATAAATGTTGTTTTCGGAACCGTTTTTTCTCATCGTCATCGGAGGTGAAGTGTCCACCACGCGTCACTCCCAGTCCTGGTGAATATGATTGGTTAGCGATTTTTGGACCCCAAATTACCTATCTAGGGTTAAATATATTCTTCCTCCTTCTGTGTGTTTCTTTCTCACCATCAGGTCTGCCCCACACACACTGCTCTCTGTTAACTCCTTCATCCATTCTTCCTCCATCTGGGCCGCACCTATGCTGCCATCATCCATCCTCCACTATCTTCTCCAGGTCTCATTTCACTGTATCTAATCAAACTCCTTCTTCATCTCTCTCTCTCTCTCTCCTCCTTTCCTCCTCCACCCCTGTCTTCAACCTTCTCATTACCAACCTGTCTTCTTCCTTCATAACACCCCCCACCCCTTCCCAAGATACCTGTAGGCTTGTTTTTGTTATCGGCCGTCCTTACCAACACCGTACTCTACACCACATGTTAAGTCGGAGCGATCTTATGCAAGGTCGTCTTGAAAAAAATTATGAATATCTAACCACCCAATCCCTCCTAACCTAACCTAACCTAACCTAACATACTTTTTGGTCTGCGTGTGTGTGTCTTTCTTACTTCAACCTCATCACTCTTATGCTTCACCCCTCATCATTCACTCACCACAAATCACTAGATTACATGCAATTTTAACAGCTAGACTAAGATTAGGATATAACAGTACCACTGGCAGTATGTTCCTCAAGCAGATGTGAACAAACCCCTCACCACACTCTCACCACTCACCACCCTTATCATTCACCACCCTCACCACTCACCATCCTCACCACTAGCCTTCCTCACCACTCACCACCATCACCACTCAACACAATCACCACCCTCATCTTTCACCACCTTCACCACCCTCACCACTCACCATCCTCACCACTCACCACCCTCACCATTCACCTTCCTCACCACGCACCTCGCTCACCACTCACCACCCTCACCACTCACCACAATCACCACCCTCACCATTCACCACCCTCACCACTCACCATCCTCACCACTCACCACCCCTTACCTCATCACTTCACCATTCACCTTTCTCACCACCACCCTCACCACTCACCACCCTCACCATTCACCTTCCTCACCACGCACCTCGCTCACCACTCACCACCCTCACCACTCACCACAATCACCACCCTCACCATTCACCACCCTCACCACTCACCATCCTCACCACACTCACCACCCTTACCACTCATCACCTTCACCATTCACCTTTCTCACCACTCACCACCCTCACCACTCACCACCCTCACCATTCACCTTCCTCACCACGCACCTCCCTCACCACTCACCACAATCACCGCCCTCAACATTCACCACCCTCACCACTCACCACCCTCACCATTCACCTTCCTCACCACGCACCTCCCTCACCACTCACCACCGTCACCACTCATCACCCTCACCGTTCACCTTCCTCACCACTCAGAATCCTCACCATTCACCTTCCTCACCACTTACCTTTCTCACCCCTCACCTCCCTCACCACCTTCACCCCTCACCTCCCTCACTACTCATCACCCTCACCACTCACCACCCTTATGTAATGATTGTTTATCAGACCACAGCTAACAGCCCAGAGAATTACAACACATAAGAACATAAGAACATAAGAATGGAGGAAACTGCAGCGGGCCTATTGGCCCATACTGGGCAGTTCCGTTTACACCCAACCCCTATTGCTCATATGAGCATCCAACCTATGTTTGAAGCAATTCAGCGAATTCGAGTTAATGATGATATTTGGTAACTTGTTCCATTCATCAACTACTCTGTTTCCAAACCAGTGTTTACCTATTTCACGCCTAAATCTAAATTTGTCTAATTTAAAACCATTGTTACGAGTTCGCTCCTGGTTGGATAATTTGAGTACCTTTGTAATGTCCCCTTTGTTTAGCCCTGTCTTCCACTTATACACCTCTATCAGGTCGCCCCTCGCTCTACGTCTCTCGAGGGAGTGCAAATTAAGA